TTTAAATTACAATAAATATTTTAGGGACCGTTTAATAACCATTTTATTTTTTATTTTTGGTTTTTAGTTTTTAGTTTTTAAAGAAGAGCATGGTTTGATAACTGTTTTTCACGAATGTAAAAAAAAAAAAAAACTGATTTGTGTTTTTCAAAATCTGATTTCTTTTTCAAATACTCAACTTTTTTTTCCCTCATATTTATCTTTCTCTTTCCATCTAAAATTTTTTCCTTTCTAAATTTATCTCTACAAAATTTATTTTTCTCTCCCTAAAATTTTCATATTTTCAATACTTATTATTATTTGTCTCTCTCCAAAATTTTCATCCCTATGTAGTTTTATTTTATATTTTTTTTAACATATCAGTTTTATTTCTCTATCTAAAAATTTAATATTTTTCCGAACTTTTTTCTCTCTAAAATTTCATCTTTTATAGCTTTTCTTTTTCTTCTTAATCTATTTTTTCCTCTGGAATTTATATTTTATTTTCTTGTTCAATTTTCTTTCATCGTAACTTTTATTTATCTCTATATTTATTTATGTTATCTGAAAATTACATTTTAAATCTTGTTTTTATCTCTAAATTTTTTTCTACTATAATTTTTCTCTTTCTTGCTAATTTATTTATTTATTTTTTAACATATCTTTGCCTCTCGACTTTACTTTTTTCTCTTTTTGTCTTTAACTTTTATTTCACTAACTTTTTTTTCTAATGTTTTTATTTATCTCTCTAAAATTTATTTTCCAAAAGTTTATTTACATCTCCCTAAACTTTGTATTTTTATACCTCTACATTAGGGATGACAAAATTTTCCGCAAGGTCAGGCCCCAAAAATAGGAAATGCATGTCTCGACCCTATCTCCAATTTCATTTTTAAATAATTAATATATATTTATTATACTTTTTTATTTTTTAAATTCTAAAAATAATTAAAAATAATTATAAAACTGATAGTTTTTCTCGATAACATCTCTCGGACCGAAGAACGAGGTTGAGATCGGGATTACAAATTTTCACAAGCACGAGAATGGGGGAGAGCATCATCACTCGCACCCGCACCATCGTCTTCTCTACCCTACATAGCATTTTCTCTCTCTAATATGTATTTTTAATTTTCTAACTTTTTAAAAACAGAAAACAAAAAATAGTTACAAAACAGGATCGATTTTCTATTTTTTAAAAACAAAAAACAAAAAATTGTTATCAAACATATATGATTTTTGTTTTTTAGAAATAGAAAAACAAAAACTAAAAACATAAAAACCAAAAACCAAAAACAGAAATGGCTGTCCAACGAACTAAACTCTCACATTCATATACTCATTGCATTAACATGAAAATGGATAAATATTTAAGAAATTTAAAATCAAAGGGCCAAATAGTTCATTCCAGCCACATATAGGCTTGCATAAAAATTCCAAAAAATGTAAAACTCCAATCAAAATATTCATAAATAATTAGAAGTTTTAATAGGTACGATGAATAACACAAAGGCCAAATGTCTATATATGTATCACTTAAACACTTGATTATAGTTTAACAATTAAAACATTGATAATTTTATCTACAGATGAATACAAATGCATAAATTAGTGTTAATTATTTGAAAATTAAAGTTGTTGAAAGTTATAATGATGTAAAATGAATCTAAGTTAGCCTGTGGATATACCTTTTTTGTCTTTTAATCAAATTTGTATTACATCGTTACATCATTGAATCAACAAGTTTGATTGTAACAATACTTGTAGTTTCAAACCCTATGATGGTCACCTACCTTAGAAATTAGTAATTTCTATGTGTTTTTCGATACTAAATATTGTAGGGTCAGACGATTTGTCCCGTGAGATTAGTCAAGGTGTGCACAAACTAACTTGGACACTCATGTCAATACTTATGACTTCATATGGTTGTTTGTAAATTGCACCAATTTAATTACAAGATTTTATAACTTTATGGAGTGACTGATCGTAAAAAATTTAAAGATGTAATTATAGTAATCTTATCGTTCAGACTTATTTTTACAATTGTTTGAGGAAGAGCACAAGAAATAATTGAATAGTTTAAACTATATAGTCCAAAACTTCAATAAGAAAAGATTAATATCTATCACTCTTTAAATAAATTCTTTTGTCATTTTCTTCTTTAGTCAACTTTTTCCACGTGAGGGATTTGTTGGAAGAGGAAAAAACATGATTTCTAGCCTACTTTTGAGAGGCATCTCATAAGTGAAACCTTTATAAAAAGTATTTATTTCAACTTTGAGTTCCAATATTCTTCAAATAAAGAGAGCCATTTATACCTTTTCCAATATGGAGAATAAAATTTAAAAGAATCATATTTTGTAGCATCATTTAAAAGCTCAAAATTATACAACTAATTTAGTGGTATGGTTCGAATCGGTCAAAAGATTCGAGATTCAAATTTTCATTTTCATGTAACTTATGCGCACCGTATATGATCATCATGAGGTTTGAATCTATTCTTTTCTAATTAATCCTGTTCTCTTTGGGTCAATAAGCCATCCATGATACTTTCATGTATTACTAAACTAAAAAAAAGTTCGACTTTTATTTTATATTTTAAAAATTAAGTTTATAATCATAATATAAGTTAAATGGATAATTGTACTAAATTACATATATCCATATATATATATATATATTCTAGAGAGAAATTTTAACTAATTTTCAAACCACTTAAAAAGGGGCTAAATTATATTAGACTAAAAGACAAAGTGAGACATAATGAGCTTCTTTGGTACTTTCTTATTTTTGTTTTTTTTTTCCTAACATTAAAAAAAATACATTTGGTAATGTTTTTAATTAAAAATTGACGAACATTAATTTTTATTTCTTGTTTTTTTTAAATTTTAAATTAAGAAAATTGCCTTTCAAGATAATTTTTTCTTTATTTTTTTTTCATAATAAAAAACTTGGACAACCGCATTCTTGTTATTGTTTTCTCGAATTCTAAAGTAATAAATCACAAATTATTTTTCTGAAAATTTGTTAAAAATAATATATTCAAAATTAATATATTATTATTTAGTTTTTTAGTAAGGACAAAAATCATAGTACTGTCTTTGACATCAAACGTTCAATCTTCCACCAAAGATCGAATTTTCAAACTCAAGAACGGTAACCAATGTTTTATCTATTAAGTGTGCATGGACAAATTATTTATTTACTTTGTTGTACTTGGATTTTTTTTCTTTCTTTTTATTGGGTATTTTTATCAAAGTTTTGAAGGTTGATATGGTAGGAAATGTTAGAGGTAAATTTTATGGGAATGTTGATGGAATCATAGATTAAATGTGGGATATTTCTAGAAAAATTATAAAAATAAAAAATTCATAACAAATAAACATTTTACGATGCTATAAAAATAACACATGGTAATATCTATATTAATGATATTTTATTGATACATTTTTTAAATATTTTGTCGACTTTTTCACAATACGATAGAAATGCTGATCACCTCTCATGAAAAAATTTCTAGCATTGGATACTCATTTTATTTACTACTTGTCATACTAGCATCTTATTATAAATAATGTGAGGTTCATTAATATTTAAAAAATCAATCATAAAAGTAAAATCGCAGTGTGAATAGAGAATATGGTACTCACGTAATAGTAGAATTTTCTCGAACCCAATACATAGAAATGTCCACGCGTCGATGGAAAATTTATTACCGTCATTTTTTTAATATTTATTTGTTTAAAATTATGATTTCGAAATGAACGTGTCACATGCATAAAAGAGACTGACAAACGCTTGCATCACCGAAACTACCCTTTTGGCCAACGTTCTATTTTCCATATCCATTTGAATTTCCTGGCGGGCCCCACCCATATAGCGCTGCCCAACGGATAAAACCGTTGGTGGCATTTTCGTAAATACTCCCAATGTCAGGGGCAACCAGTAGGGGAGCCGAAATTCGCCGCCCCAGGCCAGAAGAAGCTCGGACTCCCACATTTCTGTTCCCTCACTTTCATCCCTAGCCATTTCCAAATGACCATTTTACCCTCCACACATTCAAATTTCCAACCACTTTCCACGCCATTTCCCACAATGTTTGAGGGTATAATCAGAATAGAGATTTAAGTACCATACATGTTTTTTTTAACATATTGAATATATTTATGTAAATTCAAAATTTTTGGATCTAACAAAAATAAATGGAAATAAAATAAAACTTTGAATCAGAGTTTTCTCTCTTTAAACTCCCCTTTTATTTTTTAAACGTTTGTAAATACATCATCCAACTTTTAATTTAATATACATGAGACCGATTCGGTATTTTTGAAAAATCTATGAATCTACCACGTAGAAGTGATTTTGAATTTCATGATTTGAAATTTAAAAAATGATTTAAAATTTTTATCTGATTTAAAACGATAATGATTTGAAAGGAATAAAATTAAATTTATTTGTTTGTTGTTTCGGAAAAGAAAAAGAATATAAAATATTAGTCTTTAATCTAAATTTATTAATTATAAATTAAAATATATTAGGGTTAAACAAGTAATTTATTTGAAATTCTATAAAGTCCTGAAAAATCACCATTTCGTCAACAACGAAAACTATTTTGAAATCGGTAATCTGGAATACCAGAAAATTCTTAGATAAAAGTCTGAAAACTCAAGATTTTATTAGACACAAAATTAAAATTTATGTCTAATAAATTGATTTAAACAAGATCGTAATAGACATAAGCAAGAGATTTATTAGAGAGTATAAAATATTTAAAAAGTTTAGGTAATTTCTTTAGGTACATAACATATTCCGCATCTAGGAGTTCTACCCTTTGATTATATTTTTGAAAAGAAAAAAAGAGCAAATTTTTTTTCTTCTAATAATACCTTTGATTATATTTTTGAAAAGAAAAAAAGTGGAATATTTTTTTTCTAATTATTATTGTTATTATTTTTTGTTTTGGTAATAAATATAAATTGATTCGAGTGTCATACATTTTCGCTACAGTGAAGTAGGCGAAAAAAAAACGACGCTCCCCGTCTCCTTCCTTCTGCTACAAATCAAATCCCTGCTTCGATTTCTGTTCTTAGGGCTTCCATCGGGGAGTTCTCCAATACCACTGCTGCTCCCTTGCCTTGGAGAAACCGCGCGATCGCCATTGTTATTCTCTGCGGAGGTGTATTCAACTCTGGAAGAAGACATGGACGAGGAAATGGAGGTTGAGACAGTTGTGTTTGAGGCTTATGAAGTGGACGTTCAGTACGAGTTCGATGCGGCTATGTACTTTGATTTCACTCGGGAGGAGACTTGTGATGAGGCCCGTGAAGCAGAGCTTTGGTTCCAGTCCGCCGGAAGCTACCCTCCTTCTCGTGAGTGATCTCTAGTTTTACTTCTTTGGTGTTCGTTCGCTGCTTTTAATCTCACTCCTCATTTGCGTCATTGTTGATGTTTGTGGCTTTTTGTTGGTTTTTGGGGCGTTGATGATCGTTTTTAAGGAGGTTACTGTGGATTTTACTGACAAATCTGCTATTCGGATTTTTTTTTTGGTGAAATTTCCGGTTTTATTTGCTTATACTAATTCCAGAGATGTTCGCATTTTGATGTTTTCGCTGTGTTCGTACTTCTTTAATTTTCATGGAATGAAGAGGACTGTATCAAGGGAACTGGAAATTATGATTTTCTTGAAATATATGGCATTAGGAGTGTATCAAGGGAACAGGAATTCATGATTTTCTTGAAATATATGGCATTTGATCGGGGGCTCATTTCGTTTCTTTGAAATTTCATCCTTTTTTTATTCTCTTTGTCAGCGTTTGTAGCAAAGCTATTTTTGAGGGAGGACTGTCATTTCGCTTTTGAAAATGCATCTAAAAAATCTGAAGACCATGGTAGCACAATTGAATCGCTGAATGGTGCCAGTCAGGAAGCTGGTTCAGTACGCGAGAATGACAGAGGTATGTTTGTGGCTCAATACTTTATTTTAGTTGGAGTTGTCAAGCAAATCATGCTCCGGTTACAGTTATTCCAGGACCTTATGTTTACTATCTGTCTCTGCTTTGACAACTATTCTGGTTGGCGAGTGATAATAACAAATTACACGATTATCTTGTAGATTGCCAAGGAGCAAACAGAGGAATCTTCACCAATTTACGGGATGGAGACGTACAAAAAATTCACAATCAACAGCTTCAATTTACATCAGGTGTTTAGTCTGTTTGTGAAGAAGTAACTGGTGAATATAATAAGATACACTTGAAAGTTGTAACCAAAATCTTAATTGCAGAATATCATTTTTCTTTGACATTGAACTTACTAGGGCATTTGATAGACTGCATTTTGCTTGTGTCCAAACCTACCACTTCTCAAATATTAATGATAGATAATGAATTGTACAGTCTTGGGGCGGCAATACATGGGTATAAGAATTGACAACTTGTTTTTCCCTTTTAATATGTTTTCTCTCTTTATTTGTTTTTTTCCCAGGATCTACATCATATAATCATCCGTCCTTGAACAAACCCATGGTGAAAGCCCCATCTTGTGCCAAGCCTTCTAAACCAAGGGGCACTACGTTGATGAAACCAACAGCAAGCCACTTAGCGAGACAAAATTTCCCTAATCAACTTTCTGATTTCAAGTAAGTGCTAGAGATGCTGCTTCATTTGATTTGCTTGTTATATAAAGGTCAAACCTGCTTTTTATACATTGTTTTTTGCTGTTATATGTTTATCTTTGCAAAATTTCACCAACCTTTATATTGCACAAACTATCGCGAAAGCTACTTTAACATGTTTGTTGATTCTTCTAATGTGCACAATGGTCATGAGGCCGTCTTTATTTGATCTGAGTGGTCTATTTTTCATAAATGGCCTATTTTCTTGCTGAGGCTGAGTAATGATTCTGTTCAATGAATTCTTCAAATAGTAAATGGATTGCCCTGTTTTCATTTTTTTAGTAATTTTAGGTTTGGCTTTTTAGGTTGCAGAAAGCACTTGTTAAAAACAATGAGACAAGTGCCTATAGTTCTGGGATTGAAAGTCAAGCTATTAAGAAGCAGAAGCTGGATGGAGGTCACTCACGTAAGGTACATTGTTGTAAAAGTACAATATATCATTGTCTCTTTGATAGAATATTTTGTCAGTTTGTCACGATAAATTTTGCTATGATATTGTCTATACTCTGTTCACTATAAATTCTAAAAAGTCTTTTGATGGTGTACTCTCTGAAAAATCTATCATTATTATTTTTTTGATATCCAAGTCAATTGGAGAGTGTTCTATAACTCCTTTGGTTAATTGGGAGGTTCCTTGTAACTCTCTTTCCTCCTTTTTTTTTTCTCCCTCAACGTTTTTAGTTGATAATGTCTAATCACTATTTTAAAAAGGCACTTTTGATTTTAGGCTTTGGATGTCGTTTGATGTCAATTGAGATAATCACATTCTCACTCAAATAAGCACATCATGTTACAGGTGAATGAAATAAAACAGCAGGCTAGTTTAGTCCACAAGCTTCCCAAAAAGGTATGCCAATTAAGTTTTTTTTCTTTTTACTTTTTTTTTTTTGATCAGCTCTAACCCCTTGCGTAATGTCCATTTAAGGAAAAAATGAAGTTCTTCATGACAGCTTAAAAATAACTAAGAAATGTTAAAATACTTGTTCACAGAGATGTATTTGTGCATCTCCAAAATTTGGTATCAAAGACTGTAAATTCTGTAGGTTCACCATGCTATTATATGGGTTCTTGAGGCTTTTGTAGAAATACTTTCTGAGATTTACCTTATTCATAGAAGCTGGTTGTGTATTTTGTGCAAGTCTACAATTATCTTCTTGAGTTGGCAGGATGGAGTTGCTGATAAAACTACTACAAATTCCAAGCTGAAGATTACAATTCCTAGGCAGCCTGACCTTGAAACAGCACATAGGGCGCATAGAATAAGGTTTGGAACTTTAAATCCTACTTTATTTACTTTGGTTAGGAAAATCCAGGTCTTAGACTATTCATAGGGGTTAAGTTACTCAATTGCTTTGATGTCAGACTGAAAAGTAGGATGGAAGAGGATAATGAGATAACAACTACTCGAAGGTTTAGAGCCCGTCCATTAAACAGAAAAGTCGGTACTTGTATTTGATAATAATTGGTGATTCATGAAACTTATGTTTCCATTTTGCTAATTGGTGATTCATATATGTCTTTTTCATTTTGCAGATTTTAGAGGCTCCATCACTGCCGCTCCCGACGAAAAGCACTCCCAAATTGCCAGAGTTTCAAGTGAGTATTTTCCCAGTATTTATGTGAGGATGCTTTTGTGTAAAGAAGAATAAAAAAGCAGTAATAATATGTAGATTAAGATGTGACAACCTTATATACCAATTCATCAGGATTGTCTTTTGTGTTTGTTGCTTCTTAGGAATTTCATTTGAGGACGTTGTTGAGGGCAATGCAAAATACTTCTGCTGTTTCGTCTTCAGCATTTCATCATGATTATTCTGACATTACAGTCACAAAAAACTTGGAGTCTAGAAGGTAATAAAATGAAGAAAAAAATAATCTTGCACTGCTCCTAATAAAATAGAAATAGTGAAGGCCTTTTGTTGTAATACTTATTAGTTGTATTTATCTGTCTAGATCAAATGCCATCGATGATGGAAAGCATGATGAGTATCATGTAATGCCAAATTTCAAGACATGTCCTCTTAATAGGAAGGTAAACAATTACTTAATAAGTGCTCGGCATAATGTTGAGAAATTAGACTTATTTCTGGCTTTCATGCAGATATTTTCAAGTAAAGGGGAAATGGGTGTTTATAGAAATAGCAAGCAAGAAACCACAATACCAATGGTAAACCCTTTTTTTTCTTTCCGTATTTCCTTAATGCACATTCTTACCTTTCCTATTGATATTAGTCTCTAAGACGACATCATGTTTACTGCGTTCAGGAATTTAAATTCCATAGTGAGAAGCGAATTCTACAACCACCAACAGAACTTTTCAACAAGGTAGATCTTGGTTAAATTCATTATTATTCTTTTATGGTTCTGTATCATTGGTACCATGATTAATGCGATTGTTTAATACTTTCATTAGCTTTCCCTGACGTCTCAACTCCACTCAGATGGATCTTTGTCGAAAGTTCCTTCGCGCCCATCCATACCTCTAAAGGTATTAATTCATTTTCATGAATTCAGAATTAGCAGTATTCACAACTTGCAATTACTGATTTCCATCCTTCTTTTGAAAGAGCAAAGTTTCTAACCATTTAAAATATTTTATTCTTGATCTTTTTGGGATAAGAGCTCGAAGGAAAATAATTTGGTGTTGTTTCAACCAGAACACAAGGTAAATACTGCATCTTTTTCCTTACAATTTCATTTTAGTGTACACCACCCTACAATTTTTATTTAATACCCACCCTCATTAAGGTTTTTTATTTTATTTTTTTTTCCGGGATCATAAGATTCTGTATCTTCAGTGGTAGAATCAAGGTTTTAAACTTTTGTCTTATATGAATATTATTCTATTGTAGATTACCCCATTGGTGAAAGAAACACCTTTGCTTGCTGGAAAACAGATTCGTTTGGGGAATAATGGATGCATCTCTGATTCCTGCAGCCAGTTGACGGTGAGGTATGGCATATGGATTAGTTGATAATCTTGTAAATCATCTTTCTTACCACTTCAATGATCTAAGATAAATCTTTTAACCATACAGGAATTTGGGAATTCGCTAAGTATGTAGAATTCTGAAGGAATGGTTTCTTTCTGCTGGGGCATTTGATTTCGTTTTCGGCCTCCGCATAGAGAAACCATTACATGATGTTGATAACAGTACAGGACAGATTCTCGAGCTATTTTTTCTTCATAGAAACCAATTGATGAAGCCCATACAGTACAGGAAAGGTCGTCAAAAAGATGTTTTCTAGATTTATCTTATCTAACCAACTCTCTATGTTCTCCCCCCAAAACTTGTATCCAAATCCAAATAAGCATGCCAAGTCCGCCGGATATGTACAGCCCTCATTGCCCCGTCAACTTCCTTGTATCCCCGACGTAAATGTATCGTTTGCTACTCAAAAGAATATACACACACAACTTCATCTTTACAGTTACATTCTCATGTCGAAAAACTTGCCAGACTCTTTTGAATCATTAAACTTTTTATATTAGTTCAATGAGCAAGTAAAGTTTCCAAACGGAAAATGCAAATGAGGTGAGAGAAGAAGCTCATGGTCTGAGGCTTCTTTGGGGAAGATTTTCAACATTTCATGTTCTAAATTCATGTCTCTTCTATATTATGAACACCGGTTCGAAACAAGTCCTGGTGTCGAAATAAATTGTAGATGACTGTTTATACATGGCCCCAAAATACAGGCAGGCAGAGACATTTGAAAGGAGAGTCAAAATGCTTCATTTTGCGGATCAAAATGGTCCTTGTGCTTGGTAAGAGCTTGCTTTGTCCAGCGTTTGAGGTCATATGCCTTTTTGAAGGGTCTCCTGTCCTTATTAATAAGTCTCCTCTTTGTGATTGCAATGGCCAGGTCATTTGGGAACAGTGTCTTCCAAAGAAAGGCATGGAGGAGAGTGGATACAAAGAGAAGGGACACCATGGCAGAGGACATGAAAGAAAGGGTGAGTGCCAGAACTTTACTTACAACTGTGGGGACAAGCTCTGCATATTTGATGGTGGCCACTGAAGCTGTTGTCATTGGGAATGTGTAAGACCACCAAGCCACTGAAAACCTGCCAAATTCCACCACCAAGGTTTCAGGTACAACAATAATTTTTTATATTTGCAAGTGTCTGGGTCAGTTTACGCGCACCTCAGCTAGTCTTATAGAACAATCGTTTGATCCTACAATATTTGATGTTGGGAAACACATACGAATTAATTTATAAGTTAGGGGGTCATCGTAGGATTTCAACTCATTTCTTCTCATTTTACCCGAGTCTTTTTGGACCAGTGAACCAACAATAATTATTCATAATGTCTTGTCTTTGTGTTGGTGATCCTAGGCAGTTTTCTTGGGTTTCAGAAAGGGGGGGAATAGTTAAAAGATAATGATACAAAAAGGCAGTTTTCCTTTTTGAAGTTGTTTTACATCAAATGTTCAAATCATTCTCAAATCCATTTTTGAAAAAGTACACTTTTTAAGTTTGGTGGATCATTAAAGGTTAATCTCATGAAATTAAATCCTCTAGTTCTCATTTGTCTATTATCTTGAATACTTTTTTTCCAATCGTGCTTTAAAAATAAGTGCACCAACTAATTATTTATTTGGCAATCTACTTTTAGTTAAAGGATTTATAATTATAAGTTACTTAAAAAAAGGAAACTTAAAAATCCATCCATAATCTATAAAGATCGTTACGCTTACCATCACTTTTTTATACTTTCATTTTGATCAATCACCTTCCCAAGAAATGTTGCAATTTGAACCCTTAAATATTAGAAAATGCACTACTACCTATGAACTATGAGTGTCGTTACAATAAAATCTTTGAAAATAATTGAAAGTCGGCCAAAATCTTTATAATTAGAGAGTTAGATGGTAACGATTCTTATAGTTCAGGAGAGTTTGTGCATTTTGCAAATTTAAGGGTTTAATTGTAATGATGTTGTTAATTTAAAGCAATGATGAAATTGAAAGTTTGAGGTATGATTATAACCACTCCTATATTTCAAAAATTGATTTATCAAGTGTTCAACCTGAAGTTCAAAACTCCGAAATTAAGGGTGTTCAAAAAATCTAATGGTTGGGTTGGGTTAGATAAAGTCTTGGATTGGGTTTGGTCTCGGATTCAACCTCTAAAAAATTAGGTCAACCCAACCCAACCCGAATTTATGCATATGTATGTATATATGTTTATCTTCAATGTCAACCGTTCATTTAGTTTTAATCTTAGCCCTTCATTTAAGGTTTTCATATTATTTTATTGTATCTTAATCTCATCCGGTTGGGTTGACCATCCAATTCAAACTCTACGGTTCCTATATATGGCCAACCCGAAAATTTGAGTTGGTCTCAAGTCCCTCCTAACCTAACCCAATCCGCGAACACCCCTATCCAATTTCGACAATCAAACAAAAGAAGTTTTCGAAGGGAAAGAAAATGAAATGACTCACCTGAATCCAGTGAAGAAGTTGATCCGCACGACGAGGGAAATGTAGAGAAACAGAGCAATGAAGAAGCAAGTCCTGGACAAGCCATCAAAATCTCCATAAATGGTCTGCCAAGCAATGCTGGCTGCAGATGGCGCGGCGATGAACATTGAGTAAACTGGGTGCAGCTCCTTCGGCAGAGCCTCACTCGTGGGCAGCCTCTGATACAGAGTCACAAACACCACCAGATAGTGAGCGAACCCCACTGACCACAAGAACTTTGCTGCCTCCAACCACCTACATTTTGCCGCTAGAATCGCTCCGACGAAGTTTCCAACCACCGACAGGTGCGACGACGGGTTCACCACCTTGTTAAGAATATGAATGAAAGATTAAATATATTGTAGAGTTAAAGAATGTGAACAAGGGGTGAGTATTGAGTCAGTGATATTAGACGACAAAATAGCAAAGACCAAAGACTTTAAAATAGACGTTTTAAGAATACAATATTAACCGAGTAACGTGTATGAACTCATGTTTTTTAGTTTAGTATGGTAGTATAGTCTTACACATGTACCTTACACAATCGTCGTTTTCCCCCGGACAACCATTGCCCGTATATCTTGAGCTCGAGCAAGAAGTAAGGACCCATGAAGGCGCACCAAATGGCAGGGTGGAGCGGCTCTGACACGAGGGATGGGGGAGCACTGATGGCAAGGAACATGCAGACGACCCAAGGGGCAAAGAAGAAGTTGACACGAACAGGGTGAAAGTACTCTCTCTTGACGGCTTCGAAGTAGAAGATGCACTTGAGAATGTAAGTGAGGGAAACAGCGAGGAGGGCGGTGGCGGCAAGGAGCCAAATAGCAAGATTGAGGAATGGCGTGACGTGGAGGAAGGCGGTGGCGGGGCTGGTCGATAGTGCCCGCCATAACACGGCTTGGCTGCTGAGGCCAAGGCATATACCGAAGCATCCGATGGGGAAACGAAGAAGAAATGGCCATTTCTCATCTTTAGGGAGAAGAATATCCTCGTAATCCTGTTAAACAAAGTCACAAAGTGAAAGTTAAAGCATATAGACCAACTAAACAAAACTGTAAAAGTTTCGAGACTAACTTATAATTTAACCAGTTGTTTACTTGACCAAACAAGCATATAGTTTAACTGAACTCGAGCAGTCCAGATTGAATTGATCGAGTTTTTCGGGTCAACGTCTCATACCTTGACTTGATCAAGTTCAGGTCCTCTAAGAGCAGCAAAGTATCTTCCAACAGGAACACTTTTATTAACAGATTCATCATTAATCCCTTCAGAGCTCCCATGAGTTCTCTGAGACTCCATTGGATCTCTTTGATCTAATTTTTTTGATGGCAACGATGAATTCTGCTTACTAAGAGTGGACTTTGTTCTAAAGATGCTGAAATTTGCCTTCCTTCCTTCAATATTGGTGGAATCAAATCCCCCAAAGCTTCTCCCACTCCTTGGAAGAGCCATTCTCTCAATACCCTTCCCTTTGGAGTCCCTATCCAAACCCGTCTCCAACGACACTTGTCGACCGAAACTCCGCTCTTGTCGTGGTGGTGGCGGCCGCAGCCTGTTGTGTTTGATCTTCAGCCGCCTCTCGGGGGCCTCGGCTGAAGCCGGGGCCGCCTTTGGCCCGACATGCTCTTCTTCTTCCTCCTCTTCTGGGATGTCAACGAAATGAGGGGTGGAATGAGAGATGGGAAGAGGGGTTTGTTTTTTGTCCATTTTGGTGTTGTTTTCTTTGGTTCAATTTGGCAATGGCCATGATTGTTCTTATAATTTTGAGTTGTTTGTTGGAGTTTTTTCATGAGGTTCTTCTTCTTCTTCTTGTTCACGAGAATTTTGTAAAAGCATTTGTTTTTTAGTGGAAGATTGCTTTATGTTAAACCCAAATTGAAACCTATAACTTTTGGTGAGGCTTTAGGAGGGATATCCCGTGGGGGAAGTGGTGAAAGGCATTTATTGTTTCCTAAGTAAGATTTGTGGTCATGATTTATAAGCGTGAGCGAAGTCGGTTCGAGTTGGTTTTTAGTTGAAATCGATGTTAAACTAATAGGTTTAAAAGTTTTAATCAATATGACTAGCTACTTGACATTGACCGATAGGATGACCACTTGATTGACAAATTGAAGCGAATTAGCTGAAATTGATAAATTTTGTCCAAATCAAACTAATTGAAAAGAAAGGGGAAAAGTTGAGCGTGCTTTTGTTTTCGTGACTTGAAAATGCAATTTCAATAATATTTGGAAAATATGGGTTTTAGGTCATGGGATCCGAGTTCGACAATTGTCAATTATACTTGAAAATGCAATTTCAATAATATTTGGAAAATATGGGTTTTAGGTCATGGGATCCGAGTTCGACAATTGTCAATATAATTGATAACGAATTTTTTTTAGTACCACAAATGTGGAATGTGGAGATTTACATCTCCGACTTTAAGAGGCGTACATATTGAACTATGCATGCTCACTAATAATAAAATTTTGTTATTTTATATTATACGTTGGCTAAGACTTATGAAATTCGTTAGCAAAAATTCATATTTTGGGACGATAAGATGAGTGATGGAATAGTTTCTCTGATAATTTTTTCACTGAGTTAAACCATCCTTCTTATTAACGTTACATTAAATAATAAATCTTTATTTATTGATTATATTAATAAAAGTATTGCTCATGTTTTTTCAAAAGAAGAAATAATAATTAAAGTATTGCTATATGAAAATACTTGCATCCAAAAATAATATTTTTCCAAGAAAATATGGCTGCCACAAATAATTGAAATTCACGGGTTAAAGATAGAAAAAAGAAACAAACTACTTTGTTTAAAACTACCTTAATAACTTTCATATTAATGTCATCGCGACAAAAGTTTTGAATGGATAGAAATGTCGGTACTTTAATTTTATAGAAATGTCAAATGAGATGTATCTATGCCGATAAATATTTTTGAAAAAATGAAAAAAAATTACAACAAATATTTATATCAACAAATAAATATTTATTAATACTAATATAATGTCCCTATTACTAATATTTTATTGATATTTTGCCAATTTATTTTGTAATACTACAAAAATTTCGATTCACTGCTCATGTCGATGTCAAACCTATAGATATATGAAAATGTCGACAGAAATATCAACATATCGATGAAAGAATAACTATTTTGAGAAGAAAAAAGTAATGTTTTTTTTTGTTCCTCGCTAGCGAAAAGACGAGTAATTCATATTACTTTTTGTTACATCAAGATTATGGATAAATGAGGTGAGGTAGAACAACATTAAAACAATTATTCATTAAGAAAATTTATTAGTATCAACTCTCAAACAAGAGAGGGAAATGTCTATCCTTCAAATAATTAATAACAACTACCTATAAGCTTGTCAAATAATAATAATAAAAGAGAGAAAAGATTATTAAAAAAAAAAAAGCAGACATCACTTTTTAGATTTATAAAGGTCTACCTTAGAGTGGATTATGTCCTTTTTCTTCTTTGCTTTAACTTGTAGGTTAATTAAACTCGTCCGATATAATTCTAAAAATAATTACAAATACTTAACGTTTGAATCATTTATCAAAAGTTGTCTAGAATTTCAAGTGATTTAAAATCTTAACAGATTCAAATAAATTTAGTTATTTGTTATCACATGAAAAAGAATGGTTTGAAATCTTGAGAAATTTCAAATCATTTTTTCAATCACAAAACTTTTATGACCGAGATTTTGTGATATTCATAGGATTTTAAGATAATATTACTTATTTATCAGTGTCATATTTTAATTTTTAATTAATAAATTAAAATTAAAAGCCTATATTAGTTTATTTTCTGTACAAATAAAGAAATTTATTACAATCATTTAAAATCATTCTCGTTTCAAATAAGATAATAATTTTTCTTAATTATTTCTAGAACTTTCTTGATGCTAAACAGGGAGTTAAGGGTACATAAAATCATTTTCCCCAACAAATAAAACCCCTTCCTAAATTTGTTCGTTTTTATTCTAGAATAATTTTAGCAAACACAATATTAAAATTTTGATTGTTAATATTATAATAATTTTTTAGTTAAATTAGATTAGACTTTAATTTTATAATTTTTTTTCATTCTTATTATCATCAAACAAAGCAAGGAGAAGATTATGAAAAAGAGATACTCATTCATACACACAAATTATACATGGCTATAAAATATTGGTCACTCTTTATCAAGTCTCAATTGTTCATTATTGTTGTCCAAGTTTTCTTTATTGATGTAGACAATGCACTGCCCAAACAAATAAAAATCTCTTGTTTTTAACATTATTTTTAGGTCTAGATATTATTTTGAATTTATTAGTTTCCATTTTACCTTATAAAACATTGGATTATGATGTTTTTATATTTCGCTAAGTTTATGTATTCGTTCATCGTTAAAAATGTTTAGGTGTTTTTCTTTTCTTTCAATTTAGTTCTATTGTTTCAATTTAGTTCTCTTTATCAAGTCTCAGATTCACTTCTTGCCATAAAAACATAATGTCTTACACCATTTACCATCAAAATTTCACGTTCTAAGTTGTTAGTTTTACAACCACAAAATTTAAATAAAGATAGAAATAAAGATTTTAGTAAACATAGTTCAAAATAAATAAATGAAAAAAAAAAATGTTAAAACAACAAAATAAGAAATAGGCAAAAGTTTAACCACTAAAATTAGCTTTTACATCTTTTATTCTTATCTCAAAAATTTTCATTAATCATTAAAAAAAAAAATTGATATGTTTTGAAACTCAATATCTAATCCTCTACCTGCATAGCAATAATATGCACAAATAGTCATCATAAGATTTGAATTCATTCCCTCTTAATTAATCCTAATCCCTTTGAATCAATAAATCACCCATGATGGTTTAACGATAGAACATTTAAACTTAAAGTTTTATTTTAATAGAAGCAAATAACTAACCCTACCTGAAAGCAACAAGGTTAGTTGAAGGTGGATTAGGCCTTGAATCATTTTCACTCATAGAATACAATACAATACAAGACAACAGAGAAGGAAGTTTAAACTTCCAAGGTTCATGCTTTTGATAATGAAATTCTTTCTAAAAGGGATCTCATTTCCCCAGCAACCATGCAGAAGAATTCAGTCCAATACATCATTCAAATTTCAAATCATCCAAATGATTCACAAATGGTTCGTGATGTTTCTCGACAAAGACTGGCTCGGTCCAGGGAAAACTGGCTTGTAACAGGCTCGATCGTCCCGAATGGAGAGGATCGAACTTTATCTTTCTAGCAAATAAAAGGCAAGACATAAATAGCCCTTGGGTGAAAAGAACAGAAATGTGTGTTCTATGAGACCAAGTAACAAAAACATGGAAGAAAGAAACCATTTCGACACGATAAAGGAACATGAACTCGTTGATCCAGAGTGATACCTAGAAAGTCTCCAGACTATTTCTCATAGAGTGGCAAGGAATAAGCCTTGAGGCGTAAGCCTAGAGTTTCATTTTCACCAACCTATCTACCAAATTTCATAAAAAAAAATATGCACTTTTAAAGATTGACTGTCCCTGTGGCTGTAACCAGAAAAGAAATCAAACACACAGATGGCCATTTGGAACGGCAACAAAGCTATTGATTCATATATGAGGCAAAAGAATCTGATAACATATTGACAAAGAACAGTATATATAGATTTTTGCTGTATCTTGGCATTCTTTGTCTAAACCTTCTTGCAACTACACAATTTCAAATATGTTGTCAATGAATCAACTTTCTTGAAACTACTCTCCTATTTTGTCTTCCATTCCATCAACAAAAACTTGAAAGTATTCTATAAAAGGAGAGAATTTTTCAACAAAATGAAATCAGGGAGAAGGAATTATTTCCCTCCCCCATAGAATCAAATTGAACATTATATTTGAATTGTCTTCGTGTTTCCCAGCATGCAGGCAGAAGTATACAAGTTGCAGCAAGGCCAAAACGAGGGAATTTCACTCCCAAAGGCCACCCCAATCGAGGAGAATTCAAAGAAGAAAAGAAAAGCATGATAAATTTCCCTTTCCTCCCCTAATCCTATACATTCCATTCTCTACTTTCAAGATTTAACAAAATCAATAAATCAAAGAAAATGGACGTACCCTTATTGCGATAGATCAATCGATATAAAGTTAATCCAGATCGGATCTTATCTTATCTTCAGTGGGTTGTAACTTTGGACCTCTTCTTCGCCTCGCTGTAAAGCACCACACCCATTATAGTCACAGCAAATCCAGCCATGCCCATCACCGTAACAGGGTTCCTGAAGATCAAAACAGAGACAACAGCCGCCACTGCAGCCTTTGCATTCCCAAGAACCTGCAATGTGAGCGCACTGGTGTGTTTCGTCACCAAGAAATTGGTCAAATTCACCAAATAAGCCACCGTAGCATTGCCAAGCAACAAGAACACAATAAACGAATTCCCTCGAGCTTTCTCGACAGTAATGGCAGCTACATTCCCTTCAATGTAAAGACTAAAAGGAAGCAAAATCAAAGCAGCCATTGGGGCCATGTACAACAACAAATTCATCGAGTGAAGTTTCTCAGCCTCAGAGGTCAACAATATCCCCTGAACCACAGATTTCAACGCTCGCCCAGCCGTAGACCCAACGCACACCAAGAATCCAAAGAAATGAAACAACGGCTCGCTATTACTGGCCAAAACAATCCCAAACACCACAGGCAAAAGCGCAAGATAAACCTCAGCAGACTCCTTCTTACAAGTAATCAAGAAAGCAAAAATCGCAGTGAAAAACGGCGTCGTAGCGCCGATTGCTTGATTAAACGAAACCGGAAGGTAGCGAAGAGAAGTATTGCCGCAGACGACGGAGAAGCAGAAAATGGCGCTGAGGGCAAAGATTTTGAAGAACTGTTTACGAGAAAGAATGTGCTGCAACGGAACAATCTCGAGGAAATTAATGGCGATATAGCTATAAGCGGCGCAAGCGAGCATGTGGAGCATGGTGAGGAAGATCGGGTAGCGGTAGCCATAGAAGCTGAGGAGATATTTGTTGAGTAAAAGAACGCCAATGTTGGAGAAGTACCAGGAGAGAATGATTACCACGGTCAAGAGGTTCGGCGAGAGATAGGATCCGATCGGAAAACCGCCGGAGTTGTTGCGGACGTCGCTCGGCGGCGTCATTGGAATGTCGACGGCCTGGTCCGCGGCGGCGGTGGAGGCGTCGAGCCGAGGGTTGCTCATTCGCCGCGTCGTCCATGTCTGAGCCTCCACCATCGCCGGCGAGAAGGAGGAGAGAGAGAGAGAGAGAGAGAGAGAGAAATTGGGAAGCTCCGCTTTCTCTCTCTAGAGAATTGCAGGTTTTAGAGAGAGAAAGGAAGAGTGAGATCGGATCTGGAGATGGAGGATAGGTTGGGGATGAAGATTTTGATAACGAAGGGAAAAAATGTGAAGGTTTTTGGAGAGGGGTGTGATCGGACGGCGGAGGCTTAGATTTGGGAACAGAGTGGATTTCAGCCGTTAGATTAGGATAAAAGGCCTTTTTATTATTATTATTATTTTATTTCTCTTTTGAGAAAATAGGAAAATTAGAGTGTCGGTATAAATAAATTTTGGAGACTTCGGTCTCACACCTTAGTAGTAGTAGTTTAACCAATCATTTTTTGGATTGGATTATGTTTTTATTTAATTGCTAACAAAATATTCATCCACGTCACTAATTCGAGTATAATTTAATGGATCTTAAGTTGAAAGCTTGAATTTTAATATCGTGTCAAAATTTGTGGTCCAAGAGACAATATCAGGTAGATATAAGACTCGAGTAGTGGTGAATCAAACAAGGTATGCATCAAACGTAGTTCGTGATAAAGAGCCTTGGTTTTTGGAAGAATTGTCCTATAGTTTGCCGTATAGAACAACATATGAAGCAAGCGTATCTCTGTTTGTTTCTTCTTCACCCGTCATGGAATTTTAAGGACAACTTTAGGACGGTGGCCACCTAATGAAACTTTGAGTCAGTCCACCCCTTGACTAGAAGGCATCTACCCCATTGTGATCATGAGGAGAGGTCACCATGATGGGGATACTTTTTTCTTTCTCTTCCAAAGAGAATTAAATACGATAAGGGAGGGACCATCATTAAAAGAAAATAATAAATATCGAACATGACTGATCTTTAGTTAAAACACTAGTAAGCTGTTATAATAGGTTCAAATCTCTAGCCCTAATTGAAATATTAATTGACCATTGCATCAGTTTCATCGGGTAAAAGAACTAAAAAATTCGAGCTAGTAAAAAAAAAAAATTGTCTGTCAAATCAAGGATGAAAGTTTTTGTAGTTAGATAAACTTAATGACGAGAATAAACACTTTATTAGTATTTTTTAAAAAACAAAACATAAACATTGCCTAAGTCAAAATTTCATCTCTATTTATCAAACTATTGATTGACTTTGTTTGAAATTTAAATATTTTCACGATGGAGATTTTTATCCCTATAATTTAATTTTTCATAAAAGGAAAATAATGGAAGAATGGTGGTTGCCTGCAGAGAGGTGAAAGCTAAAATTTGACTTCTAAACCATACCATACTACCTATTTGGTATCCTTAATTTTAATTTTTTTTGCTAGACAAATAAAGAACTCCGATAAAGATCGACTCCCGAATCCAAACCAAGCATGATTCTACTAGTAGCGCCCAACCAAAATCTGAGAAATTGATCGAGATATGGAAAGTTGATATCTCCACAACCACATACCTATAAACTTAACACATCAATGTTGTTTTTCTCAATGGGAGTATCGATCTCGGTATTGTTATTCAAACGATCAGGTAATGACTTCCGCTAGACATTCCAAATGATGTTGGGATCCATGATACTTAGCTAAGTTGTTGCAAACACCACTTTAGCTCAAGATTCAGGTATTAGATCTTTGTGGATGGAAATTGACTCTTCCTTCCATTCTATAAAATCTAATATATCTGATACTAGTATGATATTTATGAGAACAAAAATCACCTCTACGTAGACGAAATAAAGGAGAAATTGTAGAGAAAAGTCGTTGAAGACTTCTTTCTTACCATAAAGACTTGTAATCAAGTCTTCACGGCTTAGCAACCCATACTCGAAAGATTCATCACCTCTAAAATTTAGATCATAGAAATTCTCTCTTAATTTACCTTTTTTCTTTCTTTCTTTTTCTTTTATTATACTAAAAAGAACTTGATAATCTAAAGTATTGGTCTTATCAATATCATTCATTCCTTAAATTATATGAAGTGAAAATTAAATTTATATATATATAATTTAGTGAAAAAAAAAATGGCATGGCATGTGATTTGGAGTGGACAAGCATTTAATATTGAATGGTAATGGAATACCTTCAAATGGAAGGAATTACATTTCATTTTTTATTCCATGTACATTAATTAAAGATATTTTATTTGGAAAGATTGAATTATTAAATTTCAAATGCAATCAAATATGTGTATTTATTACGACTTAATAATATCACATGCATCATACATGCAAAACATAAACTTTTTTATTTTTAAATTAAATGAACTAAATTTGAATAGATTAAAGTTTAAACATATACATATATATTTTTTTGCTCCAAGAGTCTTCGACTTTCTGTTGATCTTCTGGAGATACGAGCTTCTATCATAGTTGTTACCCTTCGCTTGGGGATGGAGGATAGTATTATTTGGAGGTTTGCATCTTCAAGCTTGTTCTCTAACTCAAATGCTTGGGATGCCCTTCGTCTTTGAAACTTCCGACTACTTTGATATCATGTGATTTGGTTTGACTCGATTTTCTAATTGTATCTCTAAGCATTCATTTTTGAGTTGGTTGGCTATTCGCGATCATTAATTTGTGATTGTATCCAATCCTAGTTTTCTTCCAATCTTGATCATGTATGAGGTGGATATGATTGAGTGGATATGTTGTTTCGCATTGGATTAATCCAATGGGATACAGAGTTGTATTGGATCTGTCATATTTAATTTGTAGAGGTCTCACTTAAATATAGAGTCGATAATTACTTAGGTCACCTCTATTTCTTATATTCGAAGAAAAAGTAATTCTAGGATCCAAAGGTGCTGAGGCTTTTTTCCCTAATCTCTTTTGGTCCTTCTTTTTTTTCTTTCAATATCATAATTTAAAAAAGGAAAAATAAAAATTGTAGCTAGTAGCAATGAATAAAATGTTGATATATATCTATATTTCGTCAACATTTTAATTAATCGAAAAACTTTACATAGAGTTTAATTGATATTCAAGTATATCATATACATATCAAAATAAATATAATTGAATATAAATACCAGTAATAAGATTTATAACTTATTTAAGAATAATAAAATATTTATTGATTAAAATAAAATTTATATATATATTTTTTGTTGACTTGATGAGTTCTTAGAAAATAAAAAGGATCCATTCGCAATTATATTTTATCGATAATCAATTTTCCTATAAAATTGAAACTTTACATTTTTATTAACATTTTCATTATGATATCTCAATAAGAAAAACAATATATTTTTTTATTATTAATTCATAGGGTTGAATGAAATTTTTAGGCTTCGAAAAATGCCCTTTCCCTTTAATTTCTTTCAAAACTATCCTATAACGAAAAATATATATTATATAAATTATAAAATATAGAAGTTTACTGATTACCATCCAAATCATCAATATCTATCAAGTTCCATCTCAAAACTAATCGGAGAAAAGTCATATCTATTATAAATCGTTGTTGCACCCCTTTAGTTGTCAATTCAGAATCTATATTGTTTGAGCTCGAAATTACTGAGCTCGGATGTAACGTAGATCGGAACGTTCAGGACGAATTATGGCCAACTGCCCAACACCTTCCTCCGCATACTCTTGAGACCTGCAAAACAAAGTTAGCACTCCGACGAGCAAGTCAGTTCTAGTCCGAGCTAACTTGCCGAGTCTATCTAGTATCGCGTACCTTGCATTTAAGGCTAAAGTTTCTATTTATAGAAACTGGGCCCGACAGGAACTCTGACACACCCTAAAAATACGGCGTGTTGTCGGGTTTGGAAGAAACAGATTTACGGACTCCTAAGGTTGTTCAGGTCGGCTCGTCCTTTCAGCTCGGCCCGTGACCGCCGACCTGAGCAATTTTAGGAGGAATTCTAAATCTCATCCACACGTCAATTCGACTTACCCCTTTGATCGCGACACGTGGCAGGTCCAAATTCGTCTCCAACATATATTATGTTTCTTGTTTTCAAATCAAATGAATTAGGTGAATATGCTTTAAAATGCAGAATTATATTAAAAAAATAATAAAAACTTTGATAAATATATTGTTTCATGTTATAAACTCATTTCAATTTTGTTAAAATTAAAACATATAAATTATAAAATATTGTAAAATAATAATTATCAAAATTTTTAACAGAATGTTAATAAATAAATTAATATTATTTATATTGTACTAAATATTTAATTTATAAACTACTACTCGTTACAAATATATTGCTAAGCACACGTCGAACAATTTTTTTAAATAATATTCAATTTTGAAATCTACTACCAAACACATATTTGGAAGAAAAAAAATAAAAAATAAAAAATAGTTTTTCACTGAATCATTTGTTTCCAGATTCTATTTTCTATAGCACTCTTATATTTTCCAGGTAAGATCCTTAATACAAATCAAACCATCAGCATCGCACTATTTCAAATTCAAAATCAAAATCTCCCACTCACACATGTGGTACTAAAAAAAATTCAAAATCAAATTACAAATAAATTTTCACTATTTGTACCATAGTTATGCTATTTGATGTAATAATATTATTTTAATGAGCAGCAAATTACGAAAACTACAAAAAGAATCGTAGGTTCAACAAAAGAATAAGAAAGGTGATTTCAATATAATTCTACTAGGAGTAAAAGTACTATAGCTTATTTTTAATACTCGACACTTCCAATTTTCTCGTAAATACATCGTCCTTGTTAAAGATCTCACATTGATCAAAGGAGGAACCTAAGATGTTTGAAATTTTCAAATTATATAGATATGGAGGAGAGAAAAACTATCGCGCGTATCATGACATAACTCTCATTTTCAGTCCTTTCATAAACAATATACCATAAAACAAAACTATACTAGCAAATTATGTATACAAAAATGTAGATCAGTACTAGAAATATAAATTGGAGACAAATATCTACCAAAGATAATATTTCTACTTAAATACTTATATATACGATAATCATTGCAAATCGAACAATATTAATGCACCTTCTTAAAATAAACCATCCATCATTTCTTCAACTAAAAAGTAGATTTAAAATTCACCCTAACATTTATTATTATTATTATTTTCATCCCTACCTAAAATGATAAAATAAAATAAAGTCTAATTAATGACGAACATAACCCAAATCCATTTAAGGAAAATATTAAAATCATCTTGAAGCGTTTAGTGATAGACTATATTACTGATAGATTGATAGACCTAAATGATTAATAAATTATGATAAAAAATATTATGTAAAATATTTAAATCAATCTAGACGTAAATGAGTAATAAGTGATGATTAAAAAAATGAAATTACGTAAAATATTTAAATAGATGCTTGAAGTGTGTTTTAGAAAAATTTTGTAAAATCATAATTTTGTTGCTATATTTATATTTCATTTGACATTATAAAAAATTTTGGAACAATTGATCCCATGAAGGGTATATTTTAAAACCCATTTATTTAATTAAACCGTTACATAAATGATTATTCTTAATGTCCTTTGAAAAAAAAACATTTATGTAAGATAATTCATTCAAGGGGTTATTTTAAAGTGATTTGATACTATTTGAAATGTAATTACTGAAAAGGACGAGGAAAAAAATGCTTAAAGGAAAATTCCAAACTCACTCTGATTCAATATGAGTCTACACTCTCATGAACAGTAAAAATAATTTTGACATTGGTAAATATTCTCATGAACGGTGAAAATAATCTAGTGGATTTAGCCGTGTAATTATAGCTGCACCAAAAGTTCTTTTACTCCACAATTAAATTTAGGTCATTATACTAATCCTATAATGAGCAATTATTAAGTTGTGCAATACGTGCTCATCGAGGAATCTTTCCTTTTATTATTTAGGTGTTTATCGGTAAGTACTTTCGACTTACTATCATTAAAAATTTGATAATTTAGAAGATGAATGCATAGAGTAAGAGAGGAAAATTATAATAAATTACTATCATTTTTTTATGATCATAAGTAGAAAAATACTTACCGATAAGTACCTAAATATCATTCTAAATAAAAAAAATCTCATCTTATGAAATTGTAGTATTAGTGTTGTGGGGTATATTGTATCTAAATTATTGCATTTTGAAGGCCTCTACCATGGGGGCAAAAACAAGAACAAGAGGAAGAAAAAAGAATATTATAAATCTCATCTATGAAACTTTTTATATATATATATATATATATATATATATTTGTGAGTGTTCAAACTATGTTGCACGCATGTCTGAAATTGTTTGACCTCCTACATTTGGTTGCCAAAAGAAATTATAGGATATATTAATATTTTTTTAGCTAAAAAATTGCAAAGATATAAGATGAAACCATCGACCTTTGAGATGGTAATAGATGTCTCTATTGATTAAGGTATGTTCATTTGGCTAGGTAGCCACCATCATCGTTTTGGTAAGATACTAACCAAGTTTGCAATGTAGCAAGCCACGTAGTGCTCCACGCGGGTGACTGAGGTCGAATGCTTCTAGAGATGTGAGCGCAACTTTTACGAGTGAAGAAATTGAATATGGTTATCCATCCAAGCTCACTTGAATTCCTGTGAATACGAAGTTAGACACTGGTGTAGTGCCACAACCATGCTTAGAGAGATGTCACGTGACGACATACTACGATGGAGGTGGGTCATTCATCTGACCATCTCATAAGGTTGGGTAGTCAAATTCAAATGTGAACAATCACCATTCTTGACCTAACTATACTCGACTGAGCCTTAATGGCCGCACCTAGTTCACGTGGTCTGTGTCCTGTCCATAACAACTATAGTTCTAAGTCTTCTACTATTTTTCCGTGACTCCAATAACCATTAGACTAACTCATGATAATTCGTATTGATGGAACATTTAAGAAAAATGACTCATATATACCATAGATTTGCCCATGTGGCTATTAACACTACACTAGAAAATTGATTTTAAAAAAAGTATAATATAATGATGAAGGATATTTCCAATACAAATTAACATAAACATAAAGAAAAAAGAAAATCATAACATTATATTACATATAGTACATGCTCTTATTCTTCTACCAGTGGTAAAAAAGAGAGGTTGGTGATACTGTTCACAAACTTTCCATTCTACTTCAGAGAGATTTTTGAATATATGAGGCAACAAAAGATTAGTTGCTACTCCCTCGACACGAGAAAGTTTATGCATCCGTTCTCATATTTGTGGCTGCTTCGAATACCTAAAAGAAGAGTCTGCTATATCAGACTAATTATGTTCGAGTTGAGTTGTATATCTTATCATCTGTTGGCCATCCTTTTATGGCGCCGAGTTTCTTTAACCATTCTCTTTGTAAGGTAACCAAAATAATTGGCACAACTCTACTGAAAGGCAAAGAGTAGGGATGTACATCAAAATTTCTTTCCTTTTCACTTTGCAGTCCAACCAAAATGGAGAGCAATCCTCGGATAAACTTGGGACGGGAGGCTCGTGACTACAAGAGAACTGCTGTTGGCATTATATTGTGAACATGTTGTTCTCGGGGCATGCAAGTTCGGGTAACAAGACCTAGGTAAAACACATAGTAAGTTTGGAATTAGATACAATGCATGAATTTGCAACATCAAAACACAAATGGTGTATTTCTAGTTCGTGATTCTATCCACTATGAATATAAAGAAGTAGAGCAGCAAGCACCAATATCAAGTGATATTTCTATTGGAGTTTGATAATTTATGTCAGCATGGAAGTTGAGCATAACTGCACAAGAAGTTTTTCTTCACAAGCTCATACCGTGCATCGTAATGGAATATGGAGTTAAGACCGTATTAGATTCCAAGAACTATAATTGTGAAGTTGTTTGATGTACAGTATCAAAAATCACTTGGGAGTTATGAGTAGCACCTTATGATTCAAGCTTACTAAGAGTTCCAGTTCAAATAAAAGCTTCCAATTCATACTTCAAGTTTCTTTTAAAAAACAAAAAAAACTTGTTTAGTGAGATGAAAAGTAAATTGGAGAAATGATAGTGAACAGAGGTACTTTGAGGGGATAAATTATCTAAAAGTGAAGACCATTAAAATATGAATACACGAGAAAATCAAAGTCAACACTAGCTAAATCATATGATGATTAGATTAAACAAAACTTCATAAGCAGTTGAACTTTTATTTTTTACTTTAACGATAAGAGACGATAGGATCAAACAAAAGCCAGGAATAGAATGGGGAAACAACCTAGGAGAAGAGAAAAAAGAAAATCGCACCTTGAACCTCTAAAAAAACAACCTGAATCGAGGTAAATCAATAAAAGAGACTAACTACAAACATCTTGTGAAGAGCACTCCAACAAGAGGCCATAAACCGTACAATATCACAATAATCTGTGTTTCTATCTACATTACAAAATTCTCTTATCATCTTTTAACTCAAGGACAAAGTTGAACAACCTACAAAACACTTAAACAGATCATGTTCAAGTAAAGTCATAGAAAATCTCTAAACAGCAACCAAGAGGGCAGAGCCCAATGAAGCTTCTTTATTTTTATTTTTTTGGATAACCGAGAGCCGGAGTTTTGATCCCCTATAGCCAGGACTACCCATGCCCACCCCAAGGCTTAGACCCGAGAAACATCAAGAGTTTTTGGTATTAAGTTCACCCGAAGGTATGAACAGGTTTGAACTTGAGACCTCTAAGCCAGTATGACCAAGAGATCCCAAGTCAATAAAGCTTCATTATTGTAATCTACCTTGAGTATTTAAATGTAGCTATAAAGCAGCTATAGGCAAGAGACAAAAAGAAGAATTTAATTATCTTAAGGACCAACTTACCTTTAAACTAGCTTACTATGGGAAAGAATCAACCAGGACCTTGGGGCTCTAGTTATAATCTTGAAGTGGGTACATTTGGAAGGGAAGACGCTTGAATTGTCCAAGGACCAAATGACCTTGTCATTGTCCAGAAGTCCAATAACACCCATCTTTTGTCTAAGGCAAACCCAATTATCCATTTCTCTGTCCAGCAAGTTCCCTCTGAACCCCAAATCGCAGTTATCATGTTCTGAATTCTAACAGTCACTCAGTGGACAGTCTTTTTTGTTGGAGGTAACATAAATATCCCGAAAGGAAAGCTTTAAAGTGGAGAAATGAAGCCAGCAATCCTCCCAGAATATGATCGTTCACATATTTTCAAGCTTAAATCCAAAGAAGCAGCTGAACAACTCACTATATTTAGCAATGTTAGTTGGGCCAAGGGCAGCCATCCCTGTTTCTTTTAGGAGCCTTTGTCAGCCAACCCTTGCCTTGCCTTGCCTTCGAGACCATATTTTCTTCTGATGATCTTCCTCCACATATCTTATTCCTCAGGATTTAATCTCTAATGGTGTAATAAACAAAATACATAACCCACGTAAATAAACAAAATATATAAACCCCAGCCATAAATTGTTGGTTCCTCAAACACAAATATGTACAACTCTATGAGCACTCCCTTTGGCTTAGGGACTCCTCATCCCTAAGGCCCTTACACTGTTCTTTTGACTCTTTTTGGGTTTTCTAATGAACTTCCAAGTTTCTTTTCAATATATATATGTATGTATGTGTGTACATCATAATAGGTAAACACAAACGTAAACTAATGTTGCACCAAATGCCGAACATTAAACTCCACATTATTATGGAAGTGAAAAAATTGTAACAAAAAATTCAACATTCATACCTCAAAGTCGTGCATAGGATCGAATACGGTTCAATGGGTCAACAATCCATGCAAGCTTCAAAAGCTGTTTACTTTGCTTCTCATTGGAGCGTGCATCTGCACTCTTAGACTGGGAACAAAGATAAGATAATGATTGTAGCCATGAGACTAACAATGGTTTACGCGTGACATCATCAGCTTCTGAAACCAGGGAGTATAACTGATCGAGAACCATGTTTTGGCCCTCTGTTGGTAACTCAATGATCAGTTGTGCTAAATTCTTCATCAAGCTTGGTAGGACCTAAAACATGCCAAATGTAAAATCCCAACTAAGCAAAATCAGATAGAAATTCAGCAGATGAAGCATGGTCAATTTCTGTCCTTAACCAAGATTCACCGTAGACATGTAATATAATACAATAGAGTCATGGTTGTTCAAAACAGTGCCAGATCCTACAATCTAGAATTACTCTACTCACTAGGCTAGGTTATCCTCATGAATAACTACTAATCCAAGCACATTAATATATCAATTCGGCTCCTAACAAATAATTTGATAGGAATGACCCTTAGGGTAATTAGGGATATTACTAGGATATTGAGGACACCTTAGTAATTATATAGGAAAGTTGTTAGAGAGAGTTGTTATAAGTGGAGTGAGGGTGTAAGAATGGAGGTATTCAATTATTTAGTGTGATCTAGACTTGGGTGATATCTCAAGAGGGGAGGGCCCAAGTACCTCTAATATTTCGGGTTATATTGTAGTTCTTCTATATTTTATATTTCAATACATCGTTAGTTGTTCGGGTCCTATCATAATTCTAACTCATCCAACATTTTAGTGATTAATATCTTGCCTACAAAATTAATTTCATGCAAGTAATATTCAAATTACAAGAGAAGTTATAGATTGTTCAGAAGAGATCAAATAAAAATGAATGCATATCTAGAAATCGAAGGACCTCTTAAGTATACAAAGTAGTATGTTACCTGTATATCAACAAGGGAGATGAGCCGTAGAAGCATATCTAAAATTTTCTTGGAAGGCTCCAAGTCTCCTTGCCATGTCTTCCACAAATCAGCATCACTCATGAAGTTTTCACTGCAAAGCTTAGTAGCTTTTTCAATAAGACTGTTGATACAATAAAAAATGGCAGGACTTCCTGCAGGAAGATATCGCACCAAAGCTGCAACTCCTGAAGCCATACCCTCAAATGGTGTAATGCCAGGATATCCCTAAAATCATAGAAGTTGAAAACTCAGTATCCAATTCGAGTTATCAAGTTAAAGTTTGATCAAATAAATAAAGAAAAAGGCCTTTAGTTGAGGGTGATACTGATAAAGATCTCTCAAGGTAGTAGAAAACAAGCTCCTCCTTTAATATCACCCTCTTTTCATCTTCATCATCATCCTTCCCTGATATGAAAGCTATAAACACCGAGTGTGAGGCTTGGGCTACTTTTCCATTTGGGTGTCCCATGTATCTAATTCCATTAGTAATAGGGAAGCAAATAGTTCACCAGATTAAGGGAAAAAAAAAAGAAACAAAGTAGAATTTTCAAGAACATGTTCCTTGGAACAGGATACAAGAACATTGTAGGCACTACCACCTTTCTAAACACTTGGGTAGGAACACGCTCAATGCAAGTTGGAATGACTCGTAAATAAAACAACATACGTGCAGTTTGCACCTCATCCTCTGTCCATATGTATTTTATTTTCCGCCCAGTAGAGTTATCTAGAATCGAATGAATTTCAATTTTCAAATTCTTGTAAAGCATAACAGTATTAGCATAAAAACAAAGTAATTTAATCTTAGTTACGAAGCCAAACAATTTGAAATAAATACCTGGCCCATTCGTTTGATCTTGGTAAGTGGGCATTGATTCAATGAAAGAGACACATGCAGATTCATTCTCCTGAATGCTTGCAACAACCCCTCGTATAGCATCCATATATTCTGGCAAGCGAATACGCCGAAAGTATTCCATACAAGAGAAGGAATCGAGAATTCTTACTGATATATCAAACTGAGTTTCCAGTGTATATTTGGGATCTAATTTTTCTTTTGTGACTGCTAATGCAAAAACTACAACCATGAGGAAGGCAGACTCTGCAATTTTCTCTATATTCTCGAGTAACTCATCCTCTCTGCCACAAAGCACCAAACCAACTTGTCGATGCCTTGAGTACACATCCTGACAGTAATCCCATACAAGATTTTCTACAAAAGTTTTGTTCTCTTCGTCAATTGAAGCATACTGGCTACAAAGAACACCAGCAACGGCCCCTGATTCCTTAAAAGGAATACTATCGAGATGCTCTTTCACTAGAGTAAGCCCCAACGCAGTAGATTCGCCAAAAGAGACTTCCAGAATCTTGGCATACAAACGCCGCAAAGGAAATATTTCAGTCAACAAAGCATAAACAACGCAAATGAGCAGGGGTGAGCGAGATGACAGTGGGCCACAACGTGCTAGTGCCAATGAAATACACAACAGAAGCAGGCTCCTTTGGTCATTACCTGTAATTAAAAACCCTTCCGTAAAAGAAATAAAATTTCTTGCTATAGATTCTAAGCAATCTTGAGCCAAAATCCTTATTCTAGATATTGTTTCTCTTTCTGAACTACTCAACAAGGCTTTGTAAGTATTGAAGGCCCTCAATATTCCAGCTGCAGCCATGACAACAGCAAATGAAGCATAGCTTTCCTTTGAAGACTCTAAAGTAGCTCGACTAAAAACATCTAATTTCTCAAAAGAATGAAGACTAATCAGACCAGAGGTCACCCATTCATTCAAGTGCAGAATCATTAGCCCACTAGAAACAGAACCAGAAGGACCGCCTACCTTGCCCCAAATTCCTAACAAAGAATCTAACAGCCTAACAATATGAGCATTCACTGATGAAGATAAAGCATACCCAATCCCTGCCAGAACTTCAGGAATGATTCCTCCCACTGATCCAATTAACAGGTACTCTTGTTCAAAGAGGCTGCAAAGCAACTCCAAACAGAATAATTTGGAGTTCTCCGAAGCTGAAAACAGGAACGAAAAAGCACCCAAAACTAAAATCCCTTCCGATAAGAAGGAAGGGCTCTTCCTCAATTCAATTCTGGAAGAGAAAATCTGCGAGAGCACCTCAACAGATGAATCAATAAGAATTAAAGAAGGCCGAAGAGATTTTCTGACCCAGATATAAAGAATCCTCAGAAAGAGAGGATACGATTCATCAGGAAGAGAAAAATTCGGAGAAGAAAGTATGGAAATGACAATCTTAGCTTGAGGGTCAGCAACATATAGTGACGATTGTGAGTTAACGAGAGTTTTCAGAGATTGAATGTGGCGATCATCAAACGATTGATTCTCCAAAGAGCTTCTAAGCGCAGCCCATGCTTGGATAATTTCTCGAGCAGATGGGGAAGTGCTTTTGGAGTTAAGAGAACTGCTTGTACCACTGACGCTCCTCAACCATTCTTCGAGGAAAACAGAATTCGCCTTCTTCGCCATTTATCATTTGCAGCTGCAAAAATGTAAAACACAGCATATGAAAGAAAGCCTAGGAATTAGAAAGAACCAAATAAATGAGATGGAATTAAAAGGGAAGAAGACAGAGTATGCTTTGCTGATTATGCCATCTGCGTCTTATCATTTCTTCCAGCAGCAATATTGAGGAAGACATTGAAATACAAACTTTTTTTTTTTCTTGAGTTCAAAAGTTAAACATGATTGAAGTATTGGGTCATAGGGCAAAATCAAAATGCCCTCTTTTTTGAAGTAAAATAAAATAAAATTTAAATTTCCTAAACTTTCGAATTTTTTTAACAATGGATTAGCATTCAATAAGCAATTTCAACAGCTTTGATTCCGCACAACAACAAGCATCATCTCAGAAAATCAAAATCAGAGGCAAAAAGATTGAAGAATTCAAAGTGGTTTCCCCCAGGGAGCCATACCTGGAAACTAAATGCAGATTCTGCTTGGTTTGATGAAGTCGTTCTTGCCAGCACCCGTTTCGTCAATGAACAAAGAAATATCAAAACTAACTCTGGAGGCCATGGCTAATGGGTTGAGGAGGTTGCGAAATTATGCGAGTTGCTCAATCCAACTCGAACTCGAAACTGATTCTGCTGCTTCACGAAGAAATTGATGTTACAGAAATTTGCTAGAACTCTCATGGAATTCAATCATAAAATCAACAAACGATGGGTAGACGACCTTCGGATTTTGAAGAATGTGAGGATTGGGGCTTTTACATTAATGAATTTCAGCTTTATTTCAAAATAGTGGATTGGTTAGTCAGGAGTAATTGACATCTCCGAGACGCTCCTTGAAGTATTTCTCATATAATGGGTTCTTTTTCGCGAATTTTACTCTTAACAATTCCTATATTCGAAGTAAAATGTTGTGAAATTAGACCATAAATTAAAAATGTCTCGAAAAGCCCTATTACTAGATAATCCACATCCATGTAATGAAAGTGTGGACCCTGCAACAATCCCACACCGTCCTAAATAATCAAATGGAAATATTAATTCCAACAAAATTTATAATATTTATATTAATAAATTAATTAATAATATTTGTTTTTTTTAAATTGAGATTCAATTTTCAAATCTACTATTCAACACATATATAAAAATTGAAATATTTCATTAAATCCCTCTCAAATTTCTGTTTTCAAATCACTCACCAAGCAGTCAAGCACACCCTTAATTTTTTAAAAAAAATTTAGTAGTTTTTTATTTTTTTCCTTTTTAGTTCAAAGAGAGAGTGGAACTCTAGCATGATAATAGCATACGTGTTTATTTTCTCATACATGAATGGGGATGGAAAACATTTTATCCCTATCACCTAAATTGGGACGAGAAATAATTCCTTGATCCCATCCCCGTCCTTGCCCCATTCCCCGCCCCACTCTCTTTTTTTAATATTATAAATATTACAAAAAAAACTCCATTTTTTCCCCTTCAAATGTAACTAGATGAGAATTTATTATTAAGAATTAAATTTTGTTTAAAAATTATTCATCATTTTTGGCATCAAAGATTTAATTATAAATTCTTTAAAAAAAATCATTTAATTGAAAAGTTGTTTTAAAAAAAAATAATAAGTTGAAAATTATTACCCAAGGAACCTTCTCCCTCTCCCTCGACCCTATGAACCACTGAGCTATATTGGTAGACGAGACTATATTTATAGAAATTGATTCTTCAAATTGTTGTTTGGATTTGGGCAATTATTTGACATAATTCCTAATATATTGTTATATAATTTATTGGTAAGTTCAGCGACAATTTTCAAATCTAATTTTCAGAACCTATAATTTATAACACTCATATAAGTAATAAGTTCACAACTTAAATGAATGAAATCAAAAGTTTAAAAGTTAAATTAACTCACACACCAAATACAAGACTAAAAATTCAACTTTAACCTTAAAATAATTTCAAAATTTTACATTGAAACAAAATAGAAACCTTGGAATATATAAGGGTTCAAAATAAAATTACTACCAAGATTAAATTAAAAAATTACCGATTAACAACCTGTATATAAAATTCAACGAACAAAACGGTCAAAATTAAACCATATAAAACTTGTACAAATTCGATAATAAAATCCTCCAACCAAGCAAACATCCCATCGTAACATGACCGAAAAACGAAAGTACATGAATAATCTTATTCAACTAAAAGAACTCTTTAATCTAGCCATAAATCTNGAAAGTACATATAAATTTAGCTATACACTAGTATTAATTTCACTGCTCATTCAAGTTTAAAGTTCGATTGGACTCGAGATTAAATTTTTCGTATAAATCATTAGAAAAAAACTTCTTATACTTCAAAAGCAGGCCAGAACAGGAAACCAACACAAAATATTACATGATGTGATGTGCCCTTCGCAGTTGGGAATTAACTTCTCCGTTCAAGGCAGAAAGAAAATGAGAAGTATTTCATTTTGCAAAGTGGGCAAAGTTTGAGAAATCCATCAGACTTTGCTGGTGACAAAATCTCTGTTACTTGATTCCCAAATGGTCGTCCCATCACAGGTGCATAGCTTCTTGTAGTTCTCACCGACACCCGCACTTCGAGCTACTACTGCTGCTGCAATGCCTGGAACCGACTTGTCTTCAGTCTCATACACGGCTATCGATCGCCCGATAAGATCAGAAACTCGCAGCTTCTGTTTGACCCCAGAGAAAAGGGCTTCGCCATTTTCATCGGCATCTAATGTTCCCAGGTCACCCAATGGCTGTAAATACGTCATCACATAATATCATTCTAGATTACATAAAATACATTAAAAAAAAAAAAAACAGAGGTTAAATTAGCAATTTAGTCCTATAGGTTAGGCTTAGTTTCACTTTGATCCTTTTACTTCCTAAAAGTTCCAATTTGGTCTACATGTTTCCGTAATTTTCTTTCTAATCTGCCTCCCCTAAATGGTCCAAATTTGAAAGGTAAAATTTTGTCCTCCCTAAGAAAATGTATGGCTCTGCTCCTTGATACAAGTCATAATCAAACTAAATATGCAACACATTGTCTATTCATTTAGCTCTACATCTTTTTACTTAGCTGACTCCATTACAATTTAGGGTTAGATTAAAAATAGGAGGGTAAAACGGTAGATCTGTAAATGGGTAAAAATGGTTTAAGGACAATTTGTGAGGTCCAACAAACTATAGGACGAAATTGAAACTTTTGACAGAGATCGAAACTAAACCCAACCCATGGAACCAGATTGATAATTTAACCTAAATCATAAAATACTTATGAACAGACATATCACCATTGCAATGAATCATCCAAACACTAACCATAAAACTAAAGCAGAAGCATGGTCTCAAGAAAGAGCATAATGAAATTTATGGAAGAATAATAAAAGGAATGTCATTAAAATCATAAGTTGAAAGGTAACCTCATTACTAGAGCCAGAATCTGCAGAATCAAACACTTTCCCTGTGCTAGCAGCACCTCTTGTCAGATCACCAAATTCATTGATCGACCAACCATGTTTTCCAGGTGAGAGTCCACTAAAGTTGGCTTCAACCCTAGCCAGTTCCATGTTTACCTGAGCCAATCGAACCACGCCAAATATTTCTGGACCTTTAAATTCAGCAACAGCAGCTGAAACTAAGAAGTCTGAAAACATAGGGGAGAGATTTATCAGATGAATTAACTTTCTAACGCCTTTCCTTCCAACAGGTCAATCAAAGAAAGTTAGACTGGCACATAGTTTATAGATGTAACAACTTTTTATGCATTGGTATTGAGACTTTACATGTAAGAACTGAATCCCCCTGGTAAAACACCTTATTTACAAACGTCAAGTACATCATATAATCTAAAAACTTAATCTTATCTCGAAATTGCGAGAAGGGATTTGAACCCCTCACACTTTAGTTCCTAAACTATAGGCCCCACCCCATCTCTATAAGATTTGTTCCTTACACTGTTATGTTACATCAAGACACTACAAAGAGGAAGGGGAGATTTGGGATCCAAATTCAATCAAGGGATGACTTAAAAACGCTTTCAGCTAGTCATTAGCAAAAGGACAGGATAATTAAAGACCTGTTTGCAATTAAAGTGCTAAAGAGCTATGTCCCATCCAAACCGCACCAGTTTCCCCAAAACATACATATTTTGTTCGCATTAACTATTGTTACCAAATCGTTGAAGAGCCGATAGGAGTCAGGAAGGAGAATGGTTGAAAAAGGGATTTAGCATCCCATGTAACAATTGCCAAACTGTTACATTATGCAACTGTTTGCAATTAAACAGTTACATTTTTTATAGGATTGTGCTATCCATAGGATTGCTATTGGGATAGATTAGGGATATTATTAGGGTATCAAGGTATATTAGTAATTGGGGTGGAGGTTGGTTATAAATACAATAAGTGGGTAAGTTTGGAGGTAGGCAATTAGTAGTATGGTTTAGGCTGGAGTAAGAATCCTCAAGAGAGTCCAAGTACCTCAAATTACTTGGGTGATATTGTAGTTATTCTATCTTTTATATTTCAATATATTGTTAGTGTTCAGGTTCTACCAATTTGGTCATATTCTCACATTACCCAAACCAAGACCTAAAGGTTTCTTCTAACAAATAACTTCCATTTCATCATATGATTATCTTGGTCAGTAATAATGCCTTGCCAAAGGAAACTCCTAGAAGCCTTTTTAGTTCTCCTAGCAAGGCCCAACAGGCTTATAAATATGGATAAGAAATGGAACTTTTATGTCTCCAAAGAATAAAAATGCCTATGGAGTCGAAGGTTTCAGATTTATTAATTCAGCCACCAGCGTGCACAAAACTAAATTATAGCAAGGTCCTAACAGATAGATTGAAAAGGTGTTGACCTATACAATTTTCAATAACCCTGACTCTTTTTCGTGGCTAAGAGCTAGAATATTGATGAGGTTATTATTCCCAATGAAGCTATAGAGCATTACAGGGCCAGTAAAT